ACGGGACAGCGCGTTTGAAACGTGCTCTGAAAAGGAATGAGCTCTGCTGTGGCAAAATCAGACCAATGCCATCCTATTGGATGCCCAAAGGGGAAACATGAAACGAACATAAGGAGATACCAGCAAATACAACTCTTCCGCAACGTATTTTGAAAAGGAAAAGATCCAGCTGGAGCAGTAGGTGGGTCTCACCCTTTCTGTGCTGCTTCTTAGTAAAAAGGAAAAAACCCACATTGCAGCATGCAGCATGTTTGGCTCTTGGGAGCGAAGTTCAGGGCCAGCGTCTGTAATGAATGAAAGCTAAACAGAAACCCTTTTCAAATAGGAATTGACAACGACCTGTTGTCAGCATCTATTAGCAAACAGTAAATGACATTCTGAAGTCAACTGATTAAACTTATGGATATTGTACTTGGTATAGCCACGAAGTGCAGTGCTTGGAGTCGAAGAGTTACTCAAACCAAAGAAACCCACATCCATGGCACCGTAGGACAGACCCAGCACTCACAAACCCCAGAAGTGCTTTGAAATCCCCTCCTCTCCCTTTGTCCCACGGTGCTGATTCTCCATTCTTCCACCAGTGCAAATTATGAGAAGCAGAGTAGGACTCGCCCTCCTCTACCGTCTCCGTTTACGGAGAAATCTCTCTGCGCTCTGTGCAAACCCACCTTTCCTCAGCAAGCATGAGGAGTCGTGTACACTGACTGTTCCAAAACCAAAACTATTTTCCTCTTCTTGGCATGGCTGGCAGCCAGCTGACTGGAGAAAGAGAGAGCTGGGACCTTTTTCCCTGGTATGTGTGGCATGAGCAGAATTGCCACCGTTTATGTCATCTCTCCATTCTCCTCTGGCATCACTGCAAACACACTCCTCTTAAATACTTAAAATTTTTAAAAAACCATTCAAAACACAGAAGGCAAACCTAGAAAACACCCACAGGACTCCACGTCAACCCCTGCAAGACTACTCTATTATTTTATGGTATTACACCACCTGCCTGCTCTCGTTTCCAGCAGGAACATCCCACGCCGCTCTCTGCAGCCCTGCTTCACCACCTCGTGGGAGAAGGTGAGCAGATAACGGTGCAGGTAAGCACAACGCTCACGGTTCAGAAGCCTCTTTACTTTTTATTCCCTGTGCTACAGGCAGAAGGGTACTGAAGATCATATGGGGGATAAATTCCACAGCTTTCCTAACAAGTGACAAATTATATACCTAAACCATACATAGCATAAAATACCACAAGATGCCATAGAATTGTCAGGCATTGATCCTGCTGGACTATTGTCTGTCCCATGTTGGCACCTTGCCCTCCCTAGCTTGTTAAAGCCTTCCTGTTAAGGCAGGCTGGCTCTCTGACTTAAAAAAAAACAAAAAAAAAAGTATGCCGCCGTACAGAAATCTCTCTGAGCTCTAGTCTAAAAAGTTCTGAGGTGGTGCCCAACCGTTGAAGCAACTTTTTGAGGTTTTGTAGGTATTGTTTAAAATTATTTGGCATTATGACCTTTTAGTTCTTATATGTGAAGGACAACAACCCCCACAATACTGCAGGCTGACAGCTGAAAAAGTCAACTCTATCACCGTAAAGCAAAATGACTTGAATAAACCTTCTGAATTATAAAAATCTTTCAAATATTTTCTTTTTCCAGTGAACAACCAGAAGTCACTTGTCAGTGAGACCAGCCCCACACAACTCACCAGCTCTTTTCTAATAAGCTTCTTTATGCTTTCTTCGAGGCTGCCCCTTATTTCAGGAGATGCCCTGGTCACACCGTTCGCATTACACCCGCCACCGCAAACACCGATTTTCAGTAACAAAGCAGAGACAGCCCTTGGGCCAGATATCGTGGCAGTGGCCAACACCAGCAACTTCAAAAGATGCTGAAAAGCACACTGAAAACATACACTGGACAACCTGTTCCACCACGATGGGTTCACCCTCACTCCAGAAATCAAAGATCACTTTAATTCCTGGAGTACAAAATTTTATATATATTTCAAACGTGTTGGCATTAACCATCGGGCTCCCAATGCTTGTATTACTCACACAGAGTACCCTGTTAAGCATTCCCAGTTTTTTTTCTAAACAATGTAGGTACAGGCAGCAGGAAAAGCACAGCAGTTTACGAGAGATGGATCTGCCACCTTTCACATTCACGAGATGCTTTCTTGTTCTCGCGTTACGGAGCGCACTAACTACAGACCAAGCCCTTCAGTACTCACATACCTTAATTACTTCCTCTCTCACCCATCTCCCCTCGTCTCACACGTTTTCCACCTCTGTCCAGTGCTCTGTTGCTCCCTCTCTCAATTCCATCGCTGCTTTTTCCACCCCGCAGTCACACTTTACTGGTTCTGTGCTCAGTGGAAGAGGGTTCTGATACGACAGGGGAGCTAAAGTAAAAAAGAAAAGTTATACTCCAGAAGACTTTAAAACCAGTAATTATTTTATCATATGATAACTGATGTCTTCAGTTTATGATTCACTTCAAAGAAATCGTACTTACATATTTTCAAAATCCAATCTCTACTTACTACATCCATAAACCTCCCCCAAACCAGAGTTATTTAATACAACTGGACAACTCAAATCAGATATCGTTCCTGCTGCAGATCAGGTGTTGCACTTTCCTATCTGACACTACAAACATATTATCACACGGGTTGTATCAAGACTACTGCTGGCACCAGGAGTTAACAGAAGAGTGATCTTACAAAGTGCTCTGCAGGGACTTCAGGTTTTTTGTTTAAATAACACGTCACATAAAGGCAATGGAACAACCTCCTTCTATCCTAATGCCGTACCCTTCCTGCTTTACTCCCACGTGAATACTCCATGCAAATTACTTTTGTGAACAAGGTGCCAAGGATTTAATCTTCTACCATGTGAAGAAGCTCATGTGATGCAAAACAAAAGCACAGCAGGAGTCGTAGACACCCTCAACAAAGCTTAATGCACATCTTCATCTCCCTCAAAGTACACAGAGGTCCCCACCTTGCAACCACTTTTGGGGTCCTGCACTATATTTCTTCCTATCTCAAACTGTAATTGCTGCTAAGAACGCAAAGCTTGAGACAAAATAACAGGATCTCACATATTTTTTCCCCTCCAAATTAGCATGCTCTGTACTAAAGAGAAATGCAACGACAGAAAAACCAAACAAGACAGATCTTTTAGTTATCTTCTGTAATTAGTTTAGAAAGAACCATGTTATTCGTTTATAGAGAAAAATATCTGGGCAGAGAGAAAAGACTTATGGAAACAATTTCAGTTTTACATTCGTATTAAAAAGTTGTTCACATTCATTTTATTGCAAGAAAGCTGTCTTGAATTATTCAAAATTAATTAAAATTCAGAGTGTTAAACAAAGAACAGTGCTCATAATGTAATAGTCTTCCAGGAAAATCCTGAAAATTGTTCAGTTAACAAATAGGCTAAATCAACAACAACTCACACACGGCAATAATGTGAATGTTTGGTGGTTTTTTTTTTTTTTCCTAAAATAACAAATCATCTTTCCATCACTGTAATTTTGCTAAAGATGTGGCATTTTCCTATTACGAGGCACCAAAAGTCTGTGGCTGGATTATTTCAGAGATACTAAGGCTCTGCTGAAGTCCACACAAGTTGAAAGGTGATTGCTTGTCTTGAAGAGATCTGGCCACTTCAAGCAGTAATTGTCACAAATTTAAATACTCCAAATTGTTCTGTTTCATAAGGAATTCCCACAACACATGACACGACACAGCTAGCTGGATTTATAAAAAAATACTTAACTTCAGTTATCTGCTCACTGTGTAGACCAACAGATAAAGTTTCTAAATAGATTATTAATCTTTAAATCAAACTGATGTTAGACTTCTATAAGCAAACCTCAGAAACTTGTAGTCATCTTGTTACGTGGTCATTCTGTTTTCAAAAACACTAACAGCTGTCCGTTCTACCCGTCAGAAGTACCACAGCCAAATCCTCCCAATTTCAAGACTTTTACACAAAGTCACCGACAAAAAAAGCAACCAGCAACACCACTCTTTGCATAAGTTTATGAATTAGAAAATTCCCGAGGTGACTGCGTTACTAATAGCGTATCAATGCTGTAATATTGCAATATTCACCTTTATCCTCAAATAAAACCTGTCATTAGGTATTGCAGTTATTTCTATCAGGCGTAGTCTATTTCTCCAAATATATTATTTTGGGATACATAATGCCATCGATCCTTAAAATAAATGTACAACTGGAATTCACATGTATACTTCAGAGGGTTATTAGTGCCACAACGCTTCTCAAAAGTCCTTCCCCAGTGGCAACGTAACACTGTTTGTAAAATGCCTTGTCCTGCTTTAGGAAGCTGAGGCTGAAATCCTGAACTTCAGTTGAAGACCGTGGAAAATTTGCCGTTTACCTCAACAGAACCAGGATTTCCCCCTGCGAACAGAAAGGACTTTCCCTGCCCATGGCAGGGGGGTTGGAACTGGATGATCTTTGAGGTCCCTTCCAACCCAAACCATTCTATAATTACTGTCACTTTCTACAGCAAAATGCCACTGACTCAACCCTGTGCAACGGAAAGCTTTTAAACCCAAGAATCACCACAGCAAAAATCCTCCCGATTCTTCCCGAAAACATGGCGAGTATGCCATTTAACAGGGAATTCTTCTGGCGCAGCCTCAGATCGTTCTCCGAGATATTCTGCCTCGTGACGTGGAGTTACAACACTTTTTTTTTGCTTGTCCAGGAGCAAAATTTAGTAACAGAAATACCCTCCTGTAACAATTCCAAACACAAATCTAAAACACTGCCCTTTTTGACTCGCCGCAGAAATTCCAAGAAAGCGTCATGGAAGTAATATCCGAGTATTCACTGCAAACGCAAACAGCCGGATACCATCGTTAGTGGCGTTTTAATTAATTGGCAGCAGTACCGCATCAGGGAGTTCGGGATGATCGTTAGCAGCACAAGGGAGGGGACCCACTGGGTCAGAACCCTTTCCTTAGGGTTACACCGAGGGCACTGGTATCGGCCTCGTCGAAGCGCTGTCGCGGTCTCGCACCAAGTCGGTGGTGGTGTGATGATGCGTGGCAAGGTAGGGCTTGGCAAAGCCGAACACGGAGCTCACGGGCTGTAAGCTGTTTGGGGTGCTCGCCTCCAGGGAAGGGCTGCTGTTATAGATGCTGTAATAGGGCTCGATTCGGGTGTTCATGGGGGTGGAGCTGCTCTGGGCATAGTGCTGAGGCCCGACAGAAGCCTTGGGACTCAGCACGCTTTCCTTGGAGTGACTGGGACCGCAGGCTTGGTCCACAAACTTTTTCTGAGGTTTTGGAGACAACATGTACGCTGAATTGGTCTCGTGGTGGGATGACTTGTTCCTGTTGACTTCCAGGCTGCCTTTGCCCATGGCCCGAAGCCTCGTCTTCTGCTTGCAGCAGAAAAAGACAAGGGCTACGTACTGCAGGCACCAGAGGACCCGTCTCCGAAGTCCGGCGCTGTTGCGGGAATATATAAAAGGATTCAGTCCAGATTTGAAAAAAATGAGGGTAAACCCACACAGCTCGAACTGGTAGAGAACAAAGCCCCCGCTACTGGACAGCACGTCCTGCACCAAAGAGATGCCCAAGGGCAGGCAGCAAACCAGGACGGAGAGCACGATGACGACGCACGTCACCACCGCCCTGGAGTCTTTGGCTGCGGACAGGTTGACCGCCGACACGAGCTGGAGCCGGCCAGCGGCGGGGGCCCGGGTCTGGGCGCGGGGCGTTGGGTAC